CTCCCACCCCCCCCCCCGCGGACTGTTGAACAGTTGACTAACCGCTAGGCATTCACGACTGTTCAGTTAACCGATATTTACCATCGCTACTGTGCGGGGGCCGTGGGCGCCCTTTCCCAGAAACGCTCCTTTTCCCCTCTTGTGGTTCTGGAGCCCCAGCCCCAATGCAGCACGTGCAGGCACTTCGGGGGGAACCAGCCAACCTGAAAACAGAGGGCAATGGTGGAAATGGCAAAGCCTGCTGGCTCTGTGTTTGTACGCCGCAGGGCAGGGTGTCCTGCTCCTTCTACTGTGCGGGGGCCGTGGGCGCCCTTTCCCAGAAACGCTCCTTTTCCCCTCTTGTGGTTCTGGAGCCCCAGCCCCAATGCAGCACGTGCAGGCACTTCGGGGGGAACCAGCCAACCTGAAAACAGAGGGCAATGGTGGAAATGGCAAAGCCTGCTGGCTCTGTGTTTGTACGCCGCAGGGCAGGGTGTCCTGCTCCTTCTGCGCCCACACAGCCAGCGGGCGGAACTGGTTGGATACCAGGGAGTAGTTCTCAGGGGTTCACAGTCAAGATGGAAGGCGGCAAGTGAGGTCTGCAGGGATCCAGTTCTGTTCAATATCTTCATCAGCAATTTCACTAATGGCCCAGAGAGTCTGCATATTCTCAAGTTGCGGTGGGAGCGGCCCAGGTTGGATATTAGGAAAAACTGTTTCACTAGGAGGGTGGGGAAGCACTGGGCTGGGTTACCTGGGGAGTAGTGGAGTCTCCATCCCTAGAGGGGTTTAAGTCTCGGCTTGACAAAGCCCTGGCTGGGGTGATTTAGTTGGGATTGGTCCTGCCTAGAGCAGGGGGCTGGACTTGACCTTCTGAGGTCTCTTCCAGCTCTATGGTTCTATGATTCTGTCTTAAGTTGGTGGATGACACCAAGTTGGGAGGGGTTGCAAGTGCTTTGGAGGATGGGATTATAATTCAAAATGAACTGGACAAACTGGAGAAATGGCCTGAGGTAAGTTGGCTGCAATTCAATAAGGACAAATGCAAAGTGCTCCGCTTAGGAAGGAACAATCCGTGTCACACGCACAGAATGGGAAGCGACTCTCTAGGGAGGAGACCTGCAGAAGGAGATCTAGGGGTCATAGTGGACCACAAGCGAAATACAAGTCAACAGTGTGATGCTGTTGCAAAAAAAAGCAAACATGATTCTGGGAGGGATTCACAGAAGTGTGGTGAGCAAGACACGAGAAGTCATTCTTCTGCTCTACTCTGCGCTGATTAAGCATCAGTTGGAGTATTGTGTCCAGTTCTGAGCGCCACACCTCAGGAAAGATGTGGAGAAATTGGAAAAGGTCCAGAGAAGAAGAACAAGAATGATGAAAGGTCTAGAGAACATGAGCTAGGAGGGAAGACTGAAAGAACTGGGCTTGTTTAGTTTGGAAAGGAGACTGAGAGGGGACATGATGGTGGTTTTCAAGTATCTAAAGGGGTGTTACAAGGAGGAGGGAGAAAAAATTTTCTCCTTGGCCTCGGAGAGTAGGACATTAGGGCTGTGTCTACACTACATGTCTTTGTCGGCAGAGGCATGTAGATTAGGGTTGTAGGCAAAGATAAATGAAGCCGCGATTTAAATGATCGCGGCTTCATTTACATTTACATGGCTGCCGCGCTGAGCCGACA